TGAAGAGGGTTAAACACAGTACCTTAAGGTACTGTCGCTAAATGAAAATTTTAATGACGTTATGGAGAAATCATAAAAAAATATATATATATTATATAAGAATTATATTATTATAATAAAAAATTATCTATCATAGTTTAGAGTAAACCTGTTAGAGGTGGTTCTCATAGCTGTTGGTTGTTTACTGAATAAAATTAGAAATATAAAGATATTATGTTACTAAAAATATTAATGAATAATGAAAATAATAAATATGGAAATATCCCTTACCAAACGAAGTTGTCCTTCATTATCCATGCAAAGACAGGAGGTTGGAAAAACACAAGCAGTTCCATTGAATACCAGGTTACTCTCACAAGCACAATCTTCTGATCCACTATATAAAGGATCAATGGAACATTCACTGATAAAATTACAGCATTGTGGATTGCCAGGAGCAAAATCCCTGTTACATACTGTAAGAGAAAAAAGGATAGTTGTTTAGAGAAGATTGCATGAAAGCCAACATAGTGACAATCTGGATAACAAAACAGTATGCTATAAATAATCCCTTAGAAAATAGTAGCATGTAATAATTCTATTAAATTACATATCTATTGCATTTTTTTTTATCCAAATTCAGGAAAAGTGATAGCATTTTTCTTCATATTATTTTTTTTTTTAAATCATTAATTTTTAATTGTATTTACATCCAACAGAAATGCACTTGTCAATACAAGGTGTAATGTTGCTTTATAAAATAAAGCTATGTTTACAATAAAATAATTTTTGCTAAGCTGAAAAGAAGCTTTAACTTGGTCAGATATCACTTTTGCATACAGTACATAGTAAGTCCATCGCCAAACAACATTTCAAGATTTTTTCATGTGCATGGTTAGTTTAAAGCGTTGTAGAGATTAATATATTTTCTTTGACAAAAAACTTTTGTATGCCCATATATAGTCATGGGTCTATATATGGTCAATGTGATGTCATCATGACCATATTTAGGCATGTCAGATATTTTTGTCAAATAATTGACGGTAGTACCATATGCTCAGGGAAATTCAAACGGTTTGCACTAGAATTTTCTGCTAAAGAAATCATCATGCGATCAACAGAACTCGCTTGAATCTGTAACCTTTTTGTATCAGCGTACAAGCGATATAACTAAGCATGTGTATCTCTCAAGAGAGTAGGCTTATTAATATCTACAGTGTATTAATAAATAACGAGTAAAAGTACTTACTTGGCTGAGTTGTTGGAGTGAATGCTGTAGAGAAAAAGATAATGGGTTACAAAGAATTAATTCATCAACTTCATAAATTGTGTTTTTCTTTCATATACGATTGTATTACTGTATGATGTTAATAATATACTCTCTCACAATACATTAGGTATAAATCCAATAACATTATGATTGAGTAGAAATGAAACATTGTATTGCAATTAGCAACTCTCGCGAGGTTGTGAGGTACTGGGGCGTGTCCAGATATATGCAGGAGGGGGTGCAGAAAGAAAGAAGGGAACTCCTGTATAAATAACATAAGTTTAATTGACTTGGAGAACAGCATTCTGTCTTGTAAACCTCCCATCTTTTGAGACTTAAAAGCAAACAATAATGTTAGCCTGAAAATTATTCTCATAAATGACCCCCAACCCCTGAAGTAGAAAAAACAGCTGCTGACTATTTAACCAACATATGTACAATTTTTTGACAGCTAAAAATGCGGTCTAACATTAAGGGTGGTGAATGGGGGGGGGGGGTGGCAGTCCAGATGTCGACGGCCATCAGCCCCTATGGATTCCTCCATGAGTATCATTTAAATAATCAATCTGTGAAGCCCAGTCGGCCAAATGCTGCAAGTATTGCCATATATAACCGAATATTCTAAAGCATTATATTGAATAATACGTCTTTAACTATAATTTTAGAAAGACCTTTGCAAATGAAAGTCTAATTACTTCTTAAAGAAAAACATGAGCCAAAATAATAATTTTGTTTATAATGTTAGAGCAGGTAAGATAGGCCTACTGGTAAAGAATATGGTATTAAAGAATGGTTTATACAATACAAAATGTTGTGACGGATGTACAGACATTCCTATTCGTCACATATTAATTTATATTAGTGATTAATATTGCCACTTTATAATATATTTTATTTCATTATATTTAGTGAACATACACGTTTGTATCATCCACACTTGCTGAAGTGGTACGTTCCACTTACCTACTGCATACTAAATACTCTGCTTCTTCTTTCATTGTACTGAACTAACATAATTTGAATAATGAAGTCTCACATGTGTGGCTTTTGTAGCTTGACAATCCTCGTCCAATATTTTGTAGATTCGTAAGATTTTTTTTAATGATATTTTAACAGACATAAATAGGAACTCAAAATATGCCAATAATGGCAAGACAAAAAGAATGGTGCTACAATATATTTCTTCCAGAGCTGAGCACGCGTAAATCGGCACAAAAATGTTGTCCTTACTCAAATTAGAATATTATAGACCGTCTTAGTCAATGAGGCAAAGTGAGTTGTATGGAAAAGTACATTTTCAATGAAAAAATAAAGTCTGTTTATTGCTTGAATACAAAACATATATAATTTGTTTCACCATGGAGGAATTAGTTTTTCACAATAAACCTTTTATGAGAAATAAATTTAGGTTATTATTCTTCTGAATGCAACAGAAACATCTTAATTATAAAAGAAACAAGGAGTATACACCACTTTGGCTAAATTTGAAATGAACACTTCCGAGAACCTGGCAACTACCACTGAAGGACACCACTGGGGGAATAAGGTGTAAAAATGGGCAGTTACGCCCCCTTTTCCCCCAGTTTTTAAATATTAAAAAATCTGTATCTCACCGTTCCCCAGTTTTTCGTCAAACAACTTTTTTCTGTCTTAGAAAAATCAGTTCTACAACATATCAAAAAATTTTTTTCCTCCGGAGCCTGACTTAGGAGGTTCACTTTCAAAGAACGTCGAAAAAAGAATGAGGACGTTTGTTAGGGAGACGGTTCGTACGTAGCGCCCTGGGTCGGACTGTTCCATTTATTTCGAAGGGGTGTTCCGTTTGGGAACAATGGCAATTAATCGGTTTATCCAGGTAAGTATTCACGAAATAGACTTGCTAACAACAAGGTGTTCTGGCTAGATGTCACCCAGTGAAAAGTTGCAAGACGTTGGTTGTGCTATTTCAAATAAACCCAATAAAATTATGTGCTCCCAGGTGATAGGAAAAAATATAAAACATTTCAAAAAAGAAATGTATTATTTATGTGTTATTGTACTCTAGAGAAGGGTAGTTATTTCATCCAGCGATAAACTTTATATATTTAATATGTATATACTTTATGAAAAAATAAATTATTATGACTTACTTGGAATAGGCTCACAGGCACAGCAACGTTGTCCATCATTGTAGTCCACCAACTGGAAACCCTAGATTATTATGAAAAGTGTAACGTAGGCATAGTGGTTATTAACAATTTTATACAGGATACAGCAATTATTATATCATTATCATTATAATAAACATTATTATTATTATTTTTATCATTATCATCATTACAATTTTTACCAGCCATATCGGTTGAGTAATTTTTACTGACTGACAATGACAACAACTTCTTTATTGGCCTAATTACCTAATTATGAGGCATTGTTTAAGGTGTGAATATTATCATGATACTGATAGGATTTTTCAAATAAATATCATCATTATCATTATTGTTTATTTCGAGAGTAAAAACAAACACTATTTACATAGTAATGCATTGTGATAATATATCAATTATTTACAAAAATAAAGACAGGTAAATTTAAAGTAAGAACAATTGCACCTACAGGTTCACAAGCTGAGTTGTCTTTGTTACATGCCAAAATTTGCACAACCCTTCCTTCAGTGCAAATTTGATTAGTGCACACGTCTTGTACAACCATACCATCCTGAAATTAAACAAATCAGCAGTGACGTTGTCATATTAAACAAAGATATTGTTCATTCACGCAGGGCGTATACATATGGGCGAGCTAGGGCGATTCCATTATTTTTCTTTTATTTTATGCTCGAGAGATAAGTTTCAAAGGGAACTTTGGCAATTATCGGTTTATCCAGATAAGTATTCACGAAACTAGTTGATAAATACAACATATACAAACAAACTATATTTGTAATTCCTTTCCTGTTTCTGTAATTCTTAAAAAATGACTGTGTAATTGGTCATCTTTAATTTTAAATAAAAAATATTTTGCATGTTTTAGACCTAATTTGCATATAATATGAATATATACGTAAGAGATATATTTGTGCCTGTGACAGATGTATGATTCAATGTGTAAGAGAGGAAGGTATTGACAAAGGTTGTGATGTTTAGTCGTTGTAGGCAAAATGTAAATATTTTCAACCTGCTGGAATTTTAATTTTGATATGAACTCTTTTTTTGAAGCAGTATTTTCCTATGCTGTATGTATATTTGTCTTTTTATTTTACTATACATGACTTACTTTATTGTGCAGTTCAGATGTTCCTTAATAAATGTACTGTTGAACATATAGGTGTCATAGCAGAGAAGAAATTATTAGGTTAAACATATTTGTAAGTAAATGTTAAATTAAGTGCAATATGTTGTAAATAAATCTAATTTTTATAATTATATAGAATTTTTATATCAAATCTGTATGTCAGAATTTGTTAGTAATTTTTAATTTACTGTAATTTTATTAATGAATGAAAGACAAACAGCACTATTCAGACTAAAAAATTAATTTTTTCCACAAGCTTTTGACCATGCAGTGGTCTTCATCAGGTAAATGTGATGATGAAGACCACTGCATGGTCGAATACTTGTAGAAAAATAAATTAGTTAGTGTGAAAAATGCTGTTTGTCTTTCATTTACTGTATCATCTAGACTAACACGGTTACCCTATGTATTTCATCATGATGTAATTTTGTGCAATTGACGCAATGCTGCTATGTCAAATTCTGATGTCGTTATTTGAATAAAACCAGAATATATATATATATAGATACAGTGTATATATATATATATATATATAAATCAGTAGGTAGACGCAGACAAAATAACCTGCTACGATACTTTGACTTGTAAGAGACATAGAAATATTTTATTTGCGAAATTTTCGGCAACTCCTGTTACCTTCGTCAGCGCATGAGTATCAATACTCATGCTGCTTAATACATAATATATATATATATATTTATATATATATATATATATATATATATATATATATATATATATATATTCAGCTTAACAACTTACAAAGGAACATTCAGGTGTAGTACTTGGGGGAGTTGGAGGTATTCTAGTTACAACACCTGTAGAGGAAGTAACTGTATGGGAAGTTGTTGTCCCAGGTGATCCAGTTTGCCCAGTAGTCCCAGGTGGTCCTGTTCCAGTTGGTCCTGTTCCTGTTGTACCAGGTGGTCCTGTTCCAGTTGTACCAGGTGGTCCTGTTCCAGTTGTACCAGGTGGTCCTGTTCCTGTTGTACCAGGTGGTCCCGTTCCAGTTGTTCCAGGTGGTCCCGTCCCAGTTGTCCCAGGTGGTCCCGTTCCAGTTGTCCCAGGTGGTCCCGTTCCAGTTGTCCCAGGTGGTCCTGTTCCAGTTGTCCCAGGTGGTCCTGTTCCAGTTGGCCCTGTTCCAGTTGTCCCACTTGGTGTAGTCGTGACTTGTGAGCAAAAAGTAAAAAATCCCCTTTTACTTTATGAATTTGTGAAGCTGCCTAAACTACAAACATTTCATTTTAATTTATGCCTTCACTATTAGCAATATAACATTAATTGTTAAAAATGATAGGCCCAATTATAACTATCTTGTATGTCAACAACAAAACAATATAACATTACATAATATAACAATAATATTATAGCATAATAACCAAATGTAAACTTTAGAGGGATGACTCTATGAGTTATTTACATCTTTGAAGTTTGCAACTGAGTGACTGTCTGAATTGAAATGTTCAGCTGCAGGTTTGTCAAGCTTTATGTTTTGATAGCTGATTATGTTGTGTTACAACTGAGGCCTAGAAGGCGAGGATGCCGTTGACTTAGAATGCCACCAAGCTGCATGGTGAATGTACATTGGAAAGGATTAGTTTGGAATAAAGCGCAGGATGCAACAGTACCACAAACTTAGTATGAGATCTTGGGACGACATCTAGTGAAGTTATTCTTGATACTGGTCCATGGGGATAAGAAGAATGATTGGTGCTGGCTCGTGCAGTGAACTCGACAACTTACCTTTGAAAACCCTCAAATAAGTTGTAAAGTATTCCTGTCATCATACAGTATATTATTTTACAGAAATATTATTTTCAAATATTTGAAAAATACTTCATTTAATTTTTTAGAATCTAGATATGTACACATTAAAAAATTTAGCACCATCATATGTGGAAGAGCCAAGCCAAAGGAGGGATAAGTCGCAATGGCAGTTTTCCAATAAATGCACAAACGTGAAATCGGTCATTTTTTTCGATTTATTTTTTATATCTAAAACATACATATTAAACATTTAACATTCATCCTACATTTACCTTTCTCTGATTTGTAATTGATAAATGCTCTAAAAATGGTATTTAAGAGAGCTTGTCCTAGCATACGGAAAAAAAAAATCTGAATTTCAAAGCCAGTTTTCTCAAAATACACTTACCAAATATCCTAACTTTTATTGCCCATAACTTTGCCATAAACTATCATATCAAAGTGATTTTTTTTTCGTTTTGAAGATAATAATGTCTAGTTTCATAAAAAGTACAAAACTCACTTTTGAAAATTTCAACTTATACCTCCTTTGGCTAGGCTATGCCACATATTACTACGAAACAGAAATAAAATGAAATAAATTAACTCACTGCAAATGTTAGTGCAAGTCTTGGTATGAGTTTCGTCACAATTACAAGATCGGCATTCTCCTTCAAACCATTCTTCTCCAACGGCATGTTGGGTATTATTCATATCCCTGCATGAACAATCAGAAGCAGTCTGTACGCAGACGTTGTCACGTACCTCATGTTCACAGTAGCAGTCCTGGCAATGATCTCCGATTTCACCAAGGCACTCTAGATTGCCATAACAATCCTCATTGCAGATACACTGTAAGCATACTAAACAAAAAACAATTACATATGTTTAAAGCAAAAATAAAATAATGCTTATAGTATCACTGAATATAATAAAATGGGATCATTTTGTGTCTGATATTTATTTATTTATTTTGTATTGTTAATGTTTTCAATTTTATTATTATGATCATTGTTATTATTACTATTACTATGTAATTTTGTATGTTTTATTGACACATGTTTGTTAGGATTTCCCATGAAAATAATATCTTTTGCTATTGGATTCCTTCGGGCGAGCACGTGGCTTTTCCTCAGTTCATGTCTTTGCTTTGTTTTGCTCAACAACAAAAATTAATTGAAACATGGAAGTGACTATAGATTTTTTATTTAGATTTAACTGGATTTACATACCTTAAAGGGCACCCTTCCTGTAATATATCATTTCATATCTGTTATTTGAAGCTTCGCAAATTCTCACCAGAAGGCGTTCGGGAACATTCTGTCTAGGCCTAAAATTGTTTAATTGGAATAAAACATCTACTTTTGCCCTACATACACAGAACTTACTTTTGATATCGCAGAGCAAAAACTAGTAAAGTAATTTTGTCATGCAGTAGAATCGGCTATCACTCATGACCTCATGTATTACTCATATATTTTATTGGACTTGTTTGCGAAAATTAATCCTGAACATTGATTGGTTGCCTGATCATGATCAAAGAAAGTTACCATCACTTACTTGGAAAGGTTGTAGGTGGTGGTGTGAGCTCTTTTATTGTCGTGTACCTTTCGGCCGTAGTTGGTTGTGCTGTTGTTGTTAAGATGCCTAAAATAAATACAAGAAAAAAACGGTAAATATATTTCTATATCAGATCACTTTATGGAATCTTTTATGGAATCAATGTTACTAATGGATTATCAGATTGAGAACTTCCTGTCTAAAATTTATTTAATAATTTACTGTGTTCTGTATTCATTACTATATAAAATAAAATTTCAACAAAGGCAAATCCTAATAAATTCCTTAACATAGAAATGCAAGTAACTTACCTAATGGACAGCCATATAGCTCTACTGTCATGGTCATACGTCCAACCCATCCATATGGAATGACTTGAATGACCTGAGCTTGGACTACTGATGAAAACCGCACAGAAGTAGTGTCAGTGACATCAAAAACCTGAAAAGGAAAATGCATAATATACAACACTTTATTATTTATCTATTTATTGCCAGCATCTTCCTATTGAGAAAATTAAGTCTCACACAAGGAAAGGTTTCGGTTAAAGTTTGGTTTTGTTGGAGTGAATGTATAAAGTGACTGTCTTCATGAATGTTTTCCATATGCAAGCATAGAATTTATGAAAACCTGACTACTTTGATGAAGAATGATGCTGAGCTCATTTTATACTTTAAACTCTGGTCGAGTCTTTTTTTGCCAGAATAATAATGCAAAAAAATCTGGATCTAGAACACTTAATACACTTATAATTATATGATACATACTGTACCTGCATTATGTAAATTAGCCTACTGTTTAAAGTAGCACTTCAAATTAAGAAAAGGGCATGGCCCCCCCCCCTATGTTTTTGCATATTTAAGCTATTTTTGCATGTGAATAGGATATGTGATCATAGTGTGATTTTTGCAATTTGATCCCCTCATAGATTGTGTTCTGTTATAAAACAAAAACCCTTGTTTCCAATATGTTGTCTAGCCTATTGTTTAAAGTGGCACTTCCAATGAAAAAGGGGGTGTGGCCATTTAAAAAAGGATGTGTTCATTTTTAGGCTTTTCGTCCTGGATACATATTTTGGCACACATCCTAAGTTGTTCCTTGGGTTTAAATTAGTCTATATCAGTGAGATATTCCGTCAAAAATTAAGTGCATACAAATCTTAGTCCAATAAGCACAAAGTCAAGCATAGAAAGTATAATTGTTGTTAGTCATTAAAATCGTTATTAAAAAGGTTAAATACCCAGGTTATATATTAAAATGTAGCGACTATGTACTGGTTTATGAAAACATATATCACAGAAGCAATTACGCATATCATTACCTTATCCAAAAGTGACTCAGCTTCAGCATTAGGGTTCAGTTCCTTGATAGTTGACAGGCTATCTGTACTATCTCCAAACATCACTGTGAACATAGTCACTCTGTTGAACTCATCCCCGTTTACAGAAATCTCAGTTATGTCTTTGGGCTCATCAAAGGTGATCTGAAATAAAATGGATTTAATTTATATTTACTATCATAAGCATTGTATATTATACACAAATATTTCTCTTCTTGTACTTGGAATAATATCAATAATAAAAATAATTGTTCCGGCCATTTCACGTTTAATGTAGCATTTGATGTTGCTACAAGAGAATGGGCCGATTCTAAATCTGTGCATGCACTGATTCTCACAAAATAATGATTGTGTACTTGACTTATATACTCATCTGAATGTGGTCACAAGTGAACACTTATATGGAGTTATCATTGGTTCATAGAAATAAAGAGAAATTTCCCCCTCCAGTTCCCAAAAAATGTATTTTTATGCTACATCAAACAAGACCAAAGATGCAGTTAGATCAGCCTATTATTACTTTGTATGAAATATGATCTTTTATTACTTTAGTTTAGATTTCTTCTATTATATATCTGTCTCTTATACTTAAAATGGAGGTTCAGTGTACACACTGTCTCTTATACACATATATGTGTGTGTATGTGTGTGTGTGTCTCCCTGGTGCATGTATTAAATATGATATGTGTGTGTATGCAGTGTTATGTGTATATTGGTATGTATTATATATTAATGCTTGCGGTACACTACGTAGATAGTTCTGAGAAGAACTTTTGTTGTTGGTTGAGAATAATATATTCCAAACCAGCAAAAACAGTTCCTTTCAGAACTATCTATGTGGTGTACTGCAAGCATTAATATATATTATTACTTCACCATGCAAACCTTCAAACAATATTTGGTATGTATTGATATACACTTACAGATTTACCATGTATGTGTTTGTGTCTTTCATTTTTATGCTCATGTGCATTATTAGTTTTAAGTTTAGGCCTATGTAGGTATACTATTATTAGCAATAATTTTTTAGTTTAACATGAAACTTTAGTTAATTTTACTGTGCTAAACATACATCATGTTTAATATACTTTTGATTTGAACTGTATTTAATTTTAAATATCCTTTGCCAACTTTGGTTTGTCTTTTTTCTTTCGTTGACTGTTCTGATTGCACAAATTCCATTAAGAAGCGCTCCACGGATGAAAAATTGTAGTTACAAATAAATAATAACAACAAAAACAATAATAATAATGATAATAATAATAATAATATTATAATAAATACATGTAAACATCATTGTCAGTTCAACAGAATAGAAATAAAAATATAACATCCAAACAATTTGATTCTCAAAAAAGAGAGAACAAAATCCAGCTAGGAAAACAAGTGGGTATGTTAAGCATTAGTTATGTATTTTTTGGTTAAAGTTACAAGCTGGAAAGGTTACAAATTGGGAAGGTTAAAATTTAATTTTGTTGTGAGGTACAACCACAACTGAAGTAACAAAGTCACAGGAAGCATATGAGCTTATGGCTTTAGCATATTCATAAATTAGTTTGAATGTTACATTTACATACCCTTATAAACTCATTCCTATTGCCCGCAATACCGGCATTTAAAGGCATCCATGGAAGAGAGGTAGGTATACCGTAGACCGCATCAGGGTTCAGGGAACTTTCCAGACTGGAATACTCAATATTAGAGTAGTTACCACCAGCCAGTAGAGGGTACCGACATTGTGCTACAAAATGAATAGTCATAGTTAGAACAAAATTTATTTATTTTTAAACTATAATATAGTTTCTATGTTTTTTCATGTATACACCATTTTTGCAAAATTGAAATGAAATTTTCCGCGAACCTGGCAACTACCACTAGGGGACTTTCAGAGGCCTAGCTAGGAATTTCATGTGCGTATTTACCAGTGTTTGTGCACTGTGACTGGTGTACAACCTTGTGGTTGTAGAGGCCTAGGAGTCTTCGAAAACAAAAAAAGAAAATAGGGGTGCATAAAAACTGCAATGTTTTTTGGTTGTCAAAGTACTCAAAATATTAGAGATGTGTCTGGAAAAACGAAATTTGCTTAGGCTAGACTACTGGACTTCTCCCCAGTAAAAAGTTGCGGGACGTTGGTGACGCTGTTTCGAAATAAACTCAATAAAATGGTGTATATGATATAATCAGGAAATGTTGAGCATTTTTTTATTGAAAGGTATAAATCATAATGTTGACTACTATCCACACTATCAACTTTTGTAAGCAAAATGTGCGTGAATTGCCCACATGATGTCATACCATACCAATACATAGGCACGATGATGTCATATCATACCCATATATGGGCATATCACAGTTGTCACATTAAAATTTGACTACGTAGATAGAGCTAAATGCGTGTTTTACCTCCATGGTTAAAACTGGACTAAATCGTATTTGTATGTCACCTGTAAAAATCTAATAATTCACTAATTTTTTTTTTTTCTCATAATGGTTAAACATAATTAATTGATGCACAAATGAGTTACTAAAGCAAAACCATAGAGCTATTAAACAACTAGAGTGCTGACTAGGAGATGAAGCAATGCAGATTTGTGTATCAGTACTCAACAAGATATTCCCCATAGGAAAGCGCCACCTTCAGGCTTAGTATACATATTACAACCTTAAAAAAGACCTCTGTTCAATTTCATTAACTATCATTATTATTAATAATAATAAATTATTAAACTAGCCTAGCCAAAAAGAGGCCAAGTAGAGTGTCTGATTTAAAAATAAAGTACTTGAGGAACGAAAATTTATATCATGTATGGTAACCACCACTGTAACGCTCGAGCTTCCAACACGTGGGTAACTAAGCTGTACTCAAAGCTTTCATGGTTGAATTGAGGGCGGCAATGAAAACGATGCGTATTTTGTTTGGCTGGATCTATGGCAGCCATCTTGTTAAGTACACACACACAGCTCTGCATATTTTGAACACTGAATGCATTGGAATTTGCTCTATGAGCAGAGACCCTGTTGGCAAGCTATTTGATTGCTGATTGATTTAGAAATCCTATCTATTATCACAACATGTTGGAAAACACTGTGATGATATAAGTTCCTTATTCTTACTAAAAAAAAAAAACAAGGTTGCCATGAATATCACAATCAGAACTAGATAAATATTTCTGGGCTAGGCCTAAGTTACTAGAGCCAACAGTATTAGAGTGACCATGGAGGTATACCTCCATGGAGTGATAGTGCTGGTAGTAGTACTATGTGCTTCAGTGTGCACATGGTCAGATACACACAAGACCATAATCTTAACAAGCACTATATAATGTGTATTAAACTCAGTCCAGACCATCAAATTTTCTTTGACAAAAAAAAAAAACTTGTATGCCCACATATAGTCATGATGTGCTCATATATGGTTATGATGAGCCTATATATGGTCATCATATGTCTATATATGGTTACTATGTGATATTTGGGCATGTCACATGTTTTTTCAATCAACATTTGATAGTCTGGTGTCAGAGCTTTGCAAAGAGCTGGATAAAAAAAAACCCAGAGACACAGATGTCTTCATCCTTCAGTGTACACATACAGTACTGGCAAATCTGGTATACTGCTGTCAATAGATTATTTAATACTGAAAAGCTATCCAAGAAACTTACGTTCAACTGTTGTTACTGTTGTTTCAGTAACAATAGTGGTAGTACTTGCAGTTGTAGTAATTGTAGTCGTCTGAGTAGTAACTAATAAGATAAGGTAATACTATATTGTTACAAAATTATATAAATATAACATATTATTGCAACAGTGGTGGATCCACTGAACAAACTCAAAGAGTTGGAATGTAGGATTTAAAGTTCCATTCATGGCAAAACTTCATTTTTTTAAGAAAGATTTGACTTTTAAATATGTTGGAAAGATTTATAAATATAATACGAAATTGCTAGTTTAAAGACCCAAATTTGAATTTTTTGTGTTCCACACAAAAAATAAATGAGGATGAATGTTAATATAATATAATATTTTGTTGGAATTATTTTAAACTTGCTAAAAAATTTTGACAACTAAACAAACTTATCTCAATCAACCGCAGTGTGCGAGCGAGGCACAAAAACTAATCTCATTAAAAAGGGTGCAATTTACTTATTGCTCATGAGTATCGGCAACGTAAACCATTCAGTAAATGAGATTAATGATGTTTTTATTTAATTAATTGTGGGATGAATTGTAATATCTTAGCATTAGAGTTTGTGGCATTGGCGAGCGGAATAAAAAATAAAGAATGCGGTGGGTTCGTGAAACAATTACCCTGCCTACCTCGGACGCTAGACTGATAAAGTACACACAAAAAGCAGCTGGTGAGAGCATTCCAGTGGATGCGATCTACAACCTCTGAATTTGCCTAGTAACAAAAGTCTTCAAGAAAATGGTAATCTCCTATGATAAATAGTCTCTGCTTATCATTTTTTTTAATCATTTAGCGTAAAACTAACACTTATGCCAATATTTTTTCATGGTTTATAGTAATTAAAGTAATGCTTATGCATTTTTTTTCTGAATTTATTTTGTGAAATTTTGCCAGCAATGGGGCTTTAAGCATTTGAAATGTGGGCATATAGAAAAATGAGCCACATTTCTTATACTGTAAACAGCATGAAACTAACAAAGAAGTTCTGCAACTAGTAGAAGAGTGGACAATCCTAGAAAATAAGGAAGTGTTAACGTCAGTACATTGGGCGCATAATCAGAGGATAAAAATTTAAAAATTGCTCATGCATTAAAAGGAGATTATATAAAAATATTTAAAAACATCATGATGATAATAATGATGATGATGAAAATGATGATAATGAAGTGATAAATACAATATTGATAATAAAAATTAGCCATAACAAATTGTTGTGTTGTCCAATTAAAAAAAAACTAATGTAGTGATAAATACAAAATCGATAATAAAAATAAGGCATAAGAAATTGTTGTGTTGTCCAACCAAAAAAAAAAAACTAATGAAGTGATAAATACAATATTGATAATAAAAATAAGCCATAACAAATTGTTGTGTTGTCCAACTAAAAAAAAAAAACAAACTATAGGCTAATGCCGGTAACAGGCGTAACCTGTCAGGCGTCGGCCAATGTGATTCTATGGAGAATGCAACGGCACAACGCACACGCAACGGAGCTTTTTAAAAGACAATCCATTCAGGCTGCCATTGAAATCAGCAGACAGGGTCGAGTTGCATCACAGGGTGCGGAGTTGGATTTGTCGTCAAACAAGGCAGTGAGTGCCCAGCTTAAGTTTACGTTGTACTTCCCGACCATCACTCACACCCTTGGACAACAAAGGGCAATTATCTATAGTTAAAATATCTAATTTTTCAAAGCTTTAAGCTCTGTCCGATACTATGAAACTTTATGCAACACATTTGTGTGCCCATATATGGACATGACGATGTCATATTACAGCCAAATATGGGCACATCACAGTGATTCACATAAAATTTGATATTATGAACAAAGCTTAACAAGTTGCATTTTCAAACACCTTACAAGTGTCTTAGTATCCTTAGTAGAAGTATAGGCTTCTCCTTGGTAATATATTTTCAAGGAAAGTCAACCTCAGATTTTTGGAATTTTGGGTCAGCGGAGTTGGGCAAACAATAATGATGTAAGTTATGATGATGATAATGCTGGTAATTAGGATTATGTTATATAACATATATGGCTACACAACAAGTGGAAAATAAACCACAAAGTATAATGAAATAATAACCATCAATCAAATTATTTTTGCCGTAAAGAGAAAACAGGTACTTACCAGTTGTTGAAGATATTGCTGTTAAAAGAACAAATTTTTTTTACATGAAATATTCGGAAGTGCTGAGTACATTGGTTTTAATGTATACTGTAATATAAATATATATATATATATATATATATATGAGATATGATGATATATGAGATATATAAAAATGTGTACCTGATAAGGGCTTCAGGCCAAAATCATTTCTTTAATAAAATCTGACAAATTTATAATTTGTTTCCAAGTTTTGCTTTGATGTGGATTTTTGTTAATGGATTTGTTTTTACATAATTTCTTTTTCTAATGACCGCAAACTTGCAATTAAAATAAATAATTATTATTAAAATATTTGCATCCAGATAACAGACATACATAAATACATAGCTTTCCCAGTGAACTTACAAAGTGGGCATCCATATATGGAGACAGTGTAATTTGCATCCATACTATCAAGTCTAATTCCAACGACATCAGTAATACCGAGATCTTCAGTGGTGTCAGAGTTTGAAGAAATCAGGTCTGCCAAAAAGAGCTTTGTTGCTCCCTAAAAAAGATTGTTAAAATGTTTCATAATTTAAATAAAAGAATATTTCATTTTTGTAAACAGATTTGTTTTAACATTTCTTTTTTTAATGACACAAAACTAAAATATATAAAAATGAAATCATACATTTTTATGTTATTTACTTACTACTTCTATACAGCCATTGTTTAATAAATAGAATATGTTTTTGTGATTGATGATATTTTTTGCAATTAGTTGAATAGTTATTTAATAGTCATCATATTTATTGTATATGAAATTGTAAATAGCAATATTCTCAATCTTGTGCCTGAACAACTGAATTAACCCTGAGATCGAGATCGAGTGGCAGCCTGAGCTGCCCAATCTAGAGCCGCCGCAAACTTAGTCGGGGGCCAGCGCGCACAAATCTCGCAAGGCTCAGCCTTGCTACACGAGCGACACAACGGGCACTCCGAGTGCCGGTCGAGCTTAACACTCGGTTTAGGGCCCCCACACGCCGAGCACAAAGACTTGCGAGCGGACATGCCGATCGAGACAACAATAAATAAAGGATATCTTGTCAAGTTGAAAATAAATCCAAAGGCAAAATAAGAACAGAATAGCTTGAAAAGACTGCTAGTAATTTCAAAGGCTGGGTGTATCCAACTTCGAACAACGTCGAAAAGGGAATGAGGACGTTTGTTAGGGAGGCGGTTCGCACGTGGCGCCTGGGGTCGGACTGTTCCATTTTTTTTTCGAAGGGGTGTTCCGTTTTGGGAACAATGGCAATTAGTCGGTTATCCAGGTAAGTATTCACGAAATAGACTGTTAATGATAATTATTTGTAATTATTAATGATTCTTATATGAACTTTGCATTTTTGTAATTTTTATGTGTTTTTACATGTTTTTTGAATTGGCGCGTTATAAATTTCTGCATATTATTATTATTATTATGTCTCTCTACTGCAAGCTCCTCATTTGACCCTTGAGATGTATTTTGAGCATTCCTATACTCCAATTTGTTGGGCGTATTATGAAACAGCGCCATCAATGTTTGAAGTCTTGCAAGTTTTCACTTTCACTTCACTTTCATTTCAAATTTGGTGTATACTGAATGAATAAATAAAAGTCCTCTCTATGCAAATAAAGCCTGGTTTTCTTAAAATCTCTACACTGTCGCTACATTGCAATTGTTTTACTGTGTAGCAGCAGTCCCCTATGCAATCGGGAAGGCTCTCCGATTCGACCAACCGATCAGCATCACCACAACCGGCGATAGCGTGTAGCAATTGTATGGAAACCAAGCTTACACTGTGGCTACAGTGTTTTCGGTGCAATTGCGTTGTACTGCGTAGTAGCCCCCGATGCAATCGGGAAGGCTCCCCGATTCGACCAACCAATCAGCATCACCAAAATCTATCGGTGATAGCGTGTAGAAATTGTATGGAAACTAAGCCTAAAGCTCTCTCCAGATTATCAGATTTTCTTTGTTTTTTCTGTCGTATGCCCATATATCAGAGAGGTTGGCATAAAAATCGTTCGGCAGGCCAAAATGACTTTCTGATTTAACACCGAGGGCCGGACCCAAATTTGTTCTTTCCAGTGTGCTTTCAAAAAACTTCAAGCACTGCTTTTACATCACTTTATTCCCAGTTTTAATATTACTTTTTACATGATCGGTGTCGGGCTGTAAAAAACAAGGTTTTTTCTAGCCAATGTTGCTTGGTGGGCCGCACACATAGGCTTTTTAATTCATATTCGCGGGCCGCAAAGAAATAGCTGTCGGGCCTCCCCCCCCCCCCCCCGCCCGACTGGGACCGACAAGGGTCTCCTGTCGGGGTCCAGGGGCCAAACTCTTAAAAAATTGTGTTATTTTAAGTGATAAAAGATAGAGAGTTTTCACCATGTTAATTTCTATATTAAAACCTGTAACAAAAAAATCAGCCTGAACGCAATGTGTAAACAAGAAAATAAATTTGGTGTGAGATTTCACTCTTCCCTGGTTCCATCAACAAAGGGTAATGATTTTATAATCATGAACCGCCAATGAAAGTTTTTAAATAGGACTTAAAACAGGCATGTTGTTCTATTGGACGTCAGAAAGCGTAGGTAAATCATAAAGACAAAAAGTGTTTTTTTTTCGCGGTCACTTCATGGAAGGTGGTGGCACAAGATGTATCAAATGCACAGATTAGATTGGGAGAACAAATTGAACCATATGAGAGTGGAAGTTTAAGGAAGTGGTCGCACTGGGAGGTTAAACTGTACTATACCAGAGAAGAGTTAATTTACACTCTTCTCTGATTATTTATACCAAATAATACTGTAATAAATAATAATAATTATAATAATAATAATTCTGGATTTATATAGCGCCTCGTGTTGTCACAACCTCAATGCGCTTAACAACATAGAGAAGAAAATAAAACCATAAACAAAAGTACAAATGGACCGTTAATTAAACATTTTGAGTTTTAGTTTAGTTTAATTACAGTGTTATCATTTGCTACCTCGATACAGGTAACTGGAGAGTTACCATGACTGTAACAAAATGTTTTTTATTTCAATTTTGATCATTTCTGTACACACAACATTTGAGATTTCTAGATGACACGGGTCTGAGGCAAGGGTCACTCAGTTACTGGGTGAGCTCTGTTAATTATAATAAAAGGAGAGCGACTTACATTTCATATATTATATATATTTTTTAAATTACCAATCATTTATTACTATAATCAGGATATTTTTGTAAAACTTTGATTAATATGAGAGGGGGTCAGGACTCTGGTTGCCTCCTACTATACCACGCTCTGTGTAAATTGGCCTTCCTTTTAATCTATGCGATGAAGATTCAAATTAAGGCTTAAGGGGTTCAGTGGTTTTCATTATTTTCTACTATTATTAGAAACTGAATATACTTATATAAATTTGAATCTGAGATATAGAAAAAAAATTAAGAAGTACTTACAGTGTCATCATCAACGTAGTTACCACCCTCCTCTGTAATGTACTCTATTCTGAATTCTGTTATGTAAGGGCTTTCAGGATCAGGTGACCTCTGAAAATCAAAGGAAGTGATCACTGTAGGTCCAGAAAATTCCACCTCAATGTACTGGTCACCATCATCAGCAGTTGGCTCCCAGTCTCTTCCATTGAATCTTCCAGACCCCTCTCCAGAGGTAAGGCTTGTTGTTGAGTAGCTTATACTACTGTCTGGAATCTCTCCATTCTCCATACCCAGTGGATAATCACATACTGAAGAACAAAAATGTTATTTGCATTTAATAGCTGAAGTTTGATTTTATTGCATAGAAGATACTAAAAGTATACTAAAAATACACCTAGTTAAAAGAAATGTAAAGTTTTAAAAAGGCCCCAAAAGTACCTCCAGTAAAACTCGCAAAAAATAGCAGTTCATACAAGACACAAGCTATTATAATTGTCAATGTACTTTTTTTGCATTAACATGTAGTGTCTATAAGAGCTAATTGTATACCATTCATATAGCCACCATAGGTGATCCAGTATCATGGTTACAAAGACCTGTACCAGTACAACATGGTCCATGAATCCAAATTTACTATCCTCCTGTTTGTAACCTAGCCGATATTGTGAATTTCAAAATGGCTGTCGTCAAAAATTTGCTTCTGCTCCTTGGATCATAATGTTTCTTTTTCACCTTAGTAATTGACATTTTATAATAATATAGTAATAATAATAATAATAATAATAATAATAATAATAATAATAATAGTAATAGTAATAATAATATTTATTTGAACATACACCTTAGAATCAGTGGCACTTAATGAAGATTGGTGCATTCTCAAGAAAATAGTATACAGAGGAATACTAAAAACTAAAAAATTGATTAAAATTGAGAACACAGATCAATTGGCAATAAACTGCACAAAAATTTAGTTAATACACATAGTTAATAAGTAATTAGAAAGAGAGCGAGAAAAAAATTAATTACATAATAAAATATAAAGGTTTATAAATGAAAGATACTCTGTAACACAGATCTCAAACTATATAATGTTTTATTATATAACATTTTATTAGTTTCAGGGCTGGAGAAAGTGCATGACTGTGTGACTGGCAGTCGGAGACATTGCGCAAATCACCTTCCTCGCTCCAAACCATTTAATGCTGGAGGCAAGTTAATTATCATGATTGGAGGCACAAGTTTTATTTTCCCCCCAGGCCTGCTTATTACTCATTATATATTTGAATAAAAAATGAATTAACCAATTACCTTCAAGTGTTGTTGATTGAGTAGTAGTTGAAGTTGTAGTGGACTGCGTTGTAGGAACACGGGTTGAGGGAATAACTGAAATTATAATAATTATCATTTCATTAAAAAACATTTAATAGACTGGGCCTCATTAATAATGAAACACCCATAGAGATCTGTCCATACCATCAACTATTCTGTGACAAATCTTTGTCACAGAAAATTTGATAGTATGGCCAGAGCTCAATTCTTGCATGTCTGTAACGCCTGAGCAATTCATCCAAGAGATACACAGTAGCAATTCTTTGAAACCCACATGAAAACACAATATATGCAAATTATTATGATTTTAGTATAATATAAAATTAATCAAAATGAATCCAGTTAACATTCCAGGATATGTACATAATGTATTCCACAAATATTTCAAGAGCTCTTGCTCTATATATATATAACAGTGTTCTCCCTAGGCCCTTGAAGCGTCACGGTACCGTGACGCTTGGGACTTCGTCACAGTGCACAATAATGCCGTGAAGAATTTTGTCGAATATGAATGTATTTACACCATCATATAAAGCTGTCCACGCTATCAAATGTTATGTGACAAAACCTTGTGACTTGCCCATATATGTGTGTATGATATGACATTATCATGCCCATATATGGATGTAATATGACATCATCATGCACATATATGAATGTGATATGACATTATCATGCAATTCACATTAATTTGGACCATAAAACTTTATATACAGGTAGATACTTACATTCCCCACAGCCATATAATTCCATCTTCAAGTAGATTCTTGTATCCCAATTGACAGGCACAATAACAATGGCATAAATATTCAAAAGAGGCTCAGACAAGTATATTCTGAATGGATCATTATTGTCATCGGTATAGACAACAGTGAACACCTGTAAATATAATAATTAATAAAATAAAAACATTACATATAATAATTGGTACTATTATTCTTATTAATATAAATATTATTCTTCTTATTATTTAAAATATAGTAGTACTACTTACTTTAAAACAAACACTTTTCACTTGCAACAAGTGTTTCATAAAAATTGGTGTTAATACTAACTATTAAAATATAATTAACATTGTTATAATAATAATAATAATAATAATAATAATAATAATAATAATAATGATAAATGATGATGAGGTCGTGCTTGTAATAGAAAATAATGGTAAACTAAATTTGTAAAATCTAAATTTTAAATAATTAATCATGTAAATAAAATTGCAAAATCTAAATTTTGAATAATTAACTTGTAAAGAAAAATGTAAAATCTAAATTTGGAATAATTAATCTTGTAAATAAAATTGTAAAATCTAAATTTTGCGCTATAGTGCCATAGATTAATGCCACTGATAAATGAGGTTGTGCTTGGAACTGAGAATAATTGGTTAAACTGAAAAGTCTAAATTTTGAATAATTAATTTGAAAATAAAATTGTTAAATCTAAATTTTCAATAATCATTTTTTAATAAATTGAATTTTAATGTTTAACTGTAATGTTTCTGTTTCGTGTTTGTTTATTATTTTTTATATTTTGCCTGCGTAAGCCTGTTAATTCAGGCTGTGTCATGGTCTTTGTAAAAGTTTCTTCAGTATATTTTATATGAATCAATAAAGAATGATCAAAACAAATTAATTTATATTATCATCATCAACATCATATTATTATTATACATATTATTATTGGTAAATACAGTCTTGATTTATATTATATATAAGAAATATAGACAAAGGATTTTTCACCCTATCAGTTAGTTAGGAGTAATATCTGTCTCTTATACACATCTAGATGTGTATAAGAGACAGCCTTAGAATCAGTGGCACTTAATGAAGATTGGTGCATTCTCAAGAAAATAGTATACAGAGGAATACTAAAAACTAAAAAATTGATTAAAATTATTATTATTATTATTTATTATTTATTGTTTGAAGGTTTGATGACGAAGTATAATATATAAATAATGCTTGCGGTACACCACGTAGATAGTTCTGAAAAGAACTGTTGTTGTTGGTTGAGAATATCTCGACGTTTCGGTTGACTTGCTTCAACCGTCTTCAGGAGAATAATATCTGTTATTATTATGTGTTATTATTATTATAATATTATGTTTATTATTTATTATTATTATTATAATTATCATTATTTATTAGTTATTATTTAATATTTATTAATTATTATTTATTTATTATTATTTTTATTATTTATTATTTATTTATTATTATTTATTATTATTATCATTAGTATTATTATTATTATTATTATTAAATTTCAGATATCATAACTAAACTATTAATTTTCTTCAAACGTTAACTTTTTCTAGGTTTTGTGGGAACACTCACATATTACTATAACAACAGCAATAATGATGGACATAGTAATAAAAATAGTAGCATATATTTGATAAAGTAACCTTGTCAATCATTTCTTGTGTACCAGTGACCTCTTGGTAATTGGTATACTCATTACGCTCTGGGTCTTGTGAGTACCTAATCTGGAACTGCGTCACACGGCCTTGTTCTATGTTGGATCCACCTTGAATGGCCAGACCGGAGATTTCTTGTGGAGAACGGAAAGTTACTTCGATATGTTCTGAGTTTGAGTTTCCACTCGGTATCCATGCGTTGCCACCGATGCGGCCAACTCCATTTGGATCGCTTGTGCCTTCTTCTCGAGATGAATAGTGGAGCTGACTAGGAAGAATTCTACGACTGGCCATACCCATAGCAGCATCACAAACACCTAATAATCAAATGTTATTTTAAAAATGATAATGGCTGGAAATTCTATATAATGCATTGCATAATCCCTATAAACTGTAAATAAAGGAAAACTAGAAATGCATAGCCTCCCCACAGTATGACATTGCTCTGAGAATTGATAAGTAGGAGTTTGGTTTGAATTAAATGATTAGTGAAATATTATTTATACTGAATAAGCTGAGATTTCAGAAGATTTTTCAGTGTAAAAGCACCTAAATGAAGATTATTCTCTACACACCCAATAAAATCCCTAGAGTGTGCACTTTCAAAAAGTTTTCAAATTGCAAAAAAGCTGTTTTACAAAATGGCCTGCATTTGAAAACAAAATAGAGCATAAAGAAGGTTTTACATACGTTCTGTTGTTGCTGTACTGATTGTAGTTGTTTGTATCGTTGTTGCTGCAAGAGAAGAATATATATTAGCAAACATATCTTTGGATATAGGCATCTTGACGTGAATCACATGGAAGATAACTCAATAAATGTTTAAAGACGCTATATGAGGAGAGGGCTTGGTTTAGGTAAAGTCAATGTATATATTAATGACTGCCATTTAGCTGTTTCTCATACAAAGGCATATATTTAAAACTAAGCCCTATACAGACTATCAAATTTTATTTGACAAAAACATGTGATATGCCTAAATATAGGCACAGCATGACTATATATAGGAATACAACAGTTTTTTTGTCAAATAAAATTTGATATTGTGGACACAGCATAGGGAATCTTAAGCCGGGCACACACTGCAGCCGACGGCCGATGTGATTTTATGGAGAACACAATGCAACGACACGCGCGCAACGAATCATTTTTTGTAATGAAGATCTGTTTGGACGACTACCAACAATCTGTGGACGACTACCAACAATCGGCAGACGGCGTTATGTGGTCTAGCGCTCACATGGAGCGAAGTTAGACTTGTCGTGCGAATGTCATACAACCATCAAACGACGCAGCGATGCCCAGCTTTATATTTCAACAAATACTTAGTTTTGTATTTACTGTACATCTATATTTGCTATATATTGGTAGATAATGATGTAGATTATACACATCATCTTTATCATCATCAACTTCAGCTCATATCATCTGACATTTGCTTGGTTTACTGGGAATATCAGTCTATAAAGCTGCATTCAGACCAAATCCAAATTTCTGGATAGGAATGATTACTGAACCGAATCAGTGTGTAAGAATAGGGACGCTGGTTTTTCAACACTTCAGAAACACTGTCCTAATTTCGTTCTGGATACAATGTGAATGCAGTTTATGAGACAGGCTACATTTTCGGATATTGAGCATTTTCAAACAATGTTAATATTCAGCAATGTCAACTTACTGGCAGGGCGACAGTAGCAGCATTCTCCGGCACCTGTATCATCAATAAGCTCTTCACCCTGTCAACAGATACAAAAAAGTGAGAATTTAAAAATATCTTACCAACCTTGAGAAACACTTACACATATGAAAACCACTTATTGATATTAATATAATAAAAAACAGGTTTCTTGAATATGTCTTTTTAAAAATAAAGGAGAATGATGAATGGCCACAACCTTTTCTTCATTTGGCCATATTTACATACTCCAATAAATAAAAAGGCATGCTTGACAGTTTACCAGACTGCTAATTTAATAATGAGGATCACAGCCAGTGTGAATGTAAGTAAATAATCAAATAAGCACTTCTCCTAATAAAAAGCTGCTCTTGATGAGAGCAGCTCAGATGAGACTTTTTTTATACCTTGTTGAGCGAACCCGCCTAACACAGATATTGATGAAAATTGACGATTTCGAATAAAATTAAAACTTTATTTTTGGCCGATTAGCGCACACGCCGCCACGAAAAATGGAAATTTCAGAAAAAAAAAAAAATGTTTAAAATTTTTTTTACACTCTCCGCTGCCTTGAAATTTTCAAAAATATGTATATTTCTTCCTAATTATATAAATTTGAAGCATCTAACCATACCATTTCACATTCAAAAATTAAATTTTACTTTTTATTGCATCCTCCATCTGCATGTTTTTGGCAAAACTATTTGCTAAATAAGAAAACAAAATTTTATTTCTATTTTTATTCTGGCTTCCTCCGATGATCTTTAAAAAAATAAGTACGCGAAACAAGGAATAAAAAAAGTCTCGCCTCAGCTCAGTCGGCTAAACTGGTGTTATCCACTGTGTGTGCACTAAACCGTGGAGATCTCTAGGTCCCCAGTTCAATTCCCATCGCTGCCTCTCCACTGTATTTCAGCTGAAGGGCTAAATGCAAGTTACGATAGTGCACCGACTGTCAGATGAGTCTTTTAAGCTGTTGGTCCTGTGTGCATTATGGCCCATGTGCACTTTAAAGAATGCAGTATACTCTTCAGAAAAGAGTAGGGGATTGTCTCCCGGTGTACTGTCCAAGCACCACCAGAAGGACCTCACTGGAAATAAGTCATCTTCAGACTTTCGTGGGTTATCCTTGGTGTTTACACCAAATAAATCCAATCAGAAATATATTCTATATAAGTGGTGTGGTATTAATCAAAAGTACATATTATCCAATGTGCCTTGATGATTCATATCATCAACATATTATTAAATAACAGATTTCTTAATTATTTAGAATCATTATTTTATAACACACAGAACCATTTTAAAAACACAAAAATTTGTAATAATTAACCTCTGCCCTTGAATAAGCATCTCTATCAATTATGCACAACACTGCAGCTTCCAAAATCATAGAAATGCTGCAGCATATTATACAAAATTATATACCGACTATATAGATTCCCAGCATTTGATTGGTTTGGCTGGGCAATAGTTCCAGCCATGCCCTCCTAGCCTAGCCTAGCTTTTCCTTTTACCCTCTCTAAAATTTCATGGTATGTAGTAATGTACAGTAGATTATGCTAACCTATTATTGAGGGCGTGCTTCTACTAATTTAATCAAATCTGACCTAATTTGATGACCTGGAAGCTGACAATTGCTCTGCTGGACACTGCTTATTCGTAGGCTAGGAATATCAATTGCAGAGTGTTCCAGATTTAAACTGGTTGATGAACATGAGAAGTGTTAGTGAGTTCTTCAAGCCACAAACTGTGATTTACCAAGTGTTTTATTAAATGCAGGCCTTGATAAAGTCCTAGCGAAGTTCTAAGCCTCTTCACAACTCAAGAACAGGGAATCTATGTAGTGATATACTAAACAAATATTTACTGGGATTTTAATTGGGTCATAGTTCAAATTAAAACCCTTGGTATCTGGAGGCTGTACTACGTCACTTAACTTGGTCTCAGGACAAAGTACAGCCTCCAGATCACCTTGGGCCATAAATTGAACCATGCCCCTCAACCCAGTAAATATTTGTATAATACTTTTACTTAGTATTTGTGTGATGGCCATATAAAAGTATATTTTTACTATATGTTTTTAATTTATAATTTTGAAATGTGAATACTTTAAAGTAGAGGCAGTTGAATAATTTATGCCTTTTAACCGGTTCAAACGTTCTAACTCACCAGTGCGCAACTGCCAATGTTGCATTGTGGGACACAGTTGGACTCAAAGTTGACACAGGTACATCGTCGGCATTCACCAGCATCCCATGATGTTCCATTCTACAAAGATTTTAAAAATATCAAAATATAAGAGTCAAGTCGTTTTCATGTTTACCAAATCATTTCCACCATACAGACCAACATAATTAATTTAACATTTTCATTATATAAGTGACTTGCAGTGGCGGCACCAGCCAAATCCCATGTAAACCACAGTACCAGCAACAAGATGAAATACTCTATTATAACACACCTAAATAGTTCCCAGTCATTTGATTGGTTGATTTTGTACCACGTGACATTAGTTATTTTTCCCATTTCAGCACTCATCATGAAAATTTGTTTCCACCATGCATTGTTCTTCCACCCATATTGTCCATTGCATTTTGCCTATGGATACGAAATGACTTCAACCTAACATAATCTTTTGATTAGTTAATAAGATGCAGATTGACTTTTCCGGAATGTTAAATCCATGAAATGACGTTACGTCACTTATAAGCCTACTTCTTGCTGCACTTGTCTTAGCGGAATTCGGCCCTTACTTTCTGAAATGCGCCGACGGATTCCTAGCCTAGGCTTAGCCCTACATTTTGCACAGACGATAGGCCAGGACAGGCCTAGGCCAAACCGATTCGAGCTGATGGGCCCGCGGCCAGTGGGTGGGGTGAAATGTTGGACCGCGGTCAGTGGCCAGGAAGGGCCTATAACCTAGCCCTATTCCCCGGGGAGGCGACAGGCCTTACTACAGTATTTTAGTCTGGGACACTTGCTTGGAAGATGATCAAATGACAAAGTATCTATTTAGGTGTTTTATAAAATAAGTAATGAATGTTCTGTACAGTATTTGTACAGTGGGAAGAATATTTTCATTCGTTGAAAGATTGACTGTTCCATTCAACGAGGCTCTGCCTCGTTGAATGGAACAGTTCAAGGTTTATTGATTGATTTTTTTTCATTGGACTTTCATCTCTGTAAAAAAGAGATTTAAATGTACAGCACTTTGATCTCAATTTAGAAATGCTTGGTCAAAAATAATAATAAATAATTAACTAGAGCACACTCCAAAAGTGTATACCTCCACCCGCATCATACTTCCTCCCTGTATAAAAATTCACATGCATCTTTTCCTTTGAACCTCCACCAGGATTTGACCTGTCGCTTACAAAGCAAACGTCATAACCACTAGACAAAAATACGTTTTTAGTTATGTGTGATCAGGTAGTCATTGAGAGCCTTCAATCACTGACCATAACAAACCATTCTAGAAAATTTAATTTGGATCCATTGATCAGTTTTTAAGATATTTAGGTTTGGGACATTCAATTTTAAGGGTCTCCACCTGCAGACTCTACTCAGGAACATCGACAAAATTCCATATTTTTTCCTTGGCCATGACAAACCATTACAGAAAGGTTTTCAGATGCATTTATCATTTTTGTTTATATTCCTGGATCTGGTTACTCATATCCACAGCCTACTTTGGATAGTCACCAAAATTTAATTATTTCTTCCTTGAACCATGCAAGCCATTCCAAAAAGAACCATTGATGAGTTTTTGAGATATTGAGGTCTGGGAATTTTAAATGACCCACCAAATCCACACCCAAATCTGAATCGTCATCAAATTTAATCACTTCTTATTTGTAACTTGGTAAACTCTTCAAGTAATTTTCATTTAGATCAGTTTATCAGTTTTTTGAGATACCTAGTGTGGGGTGTTTTTCTTTATATGGTCCCCCACCTCCACACCCCACTCCGGATCGTAACCAAAATATAAAGGAACTTTCCATTCAATATCAGAAATCATCTGTGAAAATCTTATACATGTACATCTAAAACTGTATGCAGGAGGTTGCTAACACAATACAGACAGACATACAAACAGACCATACAAACACACACAAGCACACCACAAAGTCAAATGAAAATATAACCTCCTTGAGAGGGTAATAATCTTGCCATTGCATAATAATTTCTATTAAGTGTATGATTTGCAGCTATATTACTTGCTTTCAATAATAACATTTTAGAATACATACTTCATAGTGGATATCATTGTAGATACAGGCACAACCAACAGCCATTCGAACACAATACTCTCCTTGCCAAACATAGCCATCAGGACATGTATGAGCACAGCCTTCAACGCATGGGTTCACTTGATGACAGTTACTTGAACCATCGCAGTTCTGGACACAGTGACAAGCAGTGCATGCTAAAAGTAAAACAAAGAAAAATTATATATACATAATCTGTATAAAAATAATGGTATGGTGTTAATAGGTAAAGCATATATCAGATGTCAATTGTGAACAGAATAGAGATGGTGAGAATTAATTGTATGGGAAGTTGAAATCACTGGGAAAGTCTATATCTTTATAGAGGCCTAAGGTGTGGGTTTTGTGTTTAAGTATAAGTTTGAGTTCGGAAATGCGGCGATCGTTCAGAGATTTAAAGTTGTTGGCGACAGTATGAGTACATATCTCAAACGAAATCTACCTCTAAAAGAAGCACCGGTTTCACCGATGTAGGTGCCATGATCACATGCATTACACATTATGATGTAAATCACGTTAGTACAGTCACATGTGAGTTGAGGAGGGTGAATTTTGTGGTTAGTGACTGGGAGTGTGATTGTGTCGTTAGTGATAATATGTGTGCATATTTGACAGCGAGCCTTACTACATTTCATATTGCCATATGAAGGAGGTTTAGTGGTGATGCGGGAGGAAGTGAGAAGGGATTTCAAATTGGGTGGCTGGCGGTTGGCAAGAATAGGTGGTGTAGTAAATAAGTGTTCTATGGATTTGTCAAGCTGGAGGTGCAAGAAGTCGTCTTTGGTAGTGTTGGTGATGGTCTTGTTGGAATTGGTTAAATAATGAAAGTACATTTGGCACCTCATAGTCAAGTTAAATTAGAACAGGAACACATTTTGACAAGACATGAGGAGTAAGACCGTTTTCCATTAAAAAAAATTCTTTATATACTTACAGATTGGAGTTGTCTGTGTAGTAATCACTGTTACAACAGTAGTTGAAACTAGAAAATATAACATACAATATTCTTAGACACCACACACACATAGAAGTAAAACATACTTTCTAGGGGTCTTAATTAGGTATCCATTTCAATGCCTCAAATTGCAGTAGTAAATGAAAAATTTAATAGCACTTAATGTTTTGCTTGTAATGGTTATGAGTACATTATAACAAAGTTGAAATATCAAAACAGCTAAGCATGCAACAGATTGATGGCGCTATTCAAAATATCCAGAAATTTTCTAGGAATTTGGACAATTATTTAGCCATCAAATTGTCAACATGATGAATAAAAAGCATAGCCGCGTTTAGTCTGATACAGTATAATATACAATATAAAGTAAATGACAGCAACACTTTTGAGACTAACAATATAGACTTTGTTCTCTAGCTTTTGTCCACACAGGGGACTTCATCAGGAGACTGTACAAATCGGATAAGAAACAACTATAATATACAACTGAAATAATGGGGGCGGTACTACAACAACAAAGAATGGAGTACGAAGCATACTACTAGTCTGCCAAAATAAGCAATCTTAATAAACAATATTAAAAGAACAAAAGATCAATGAATAAACTGTGAGAAATAGCATACTATCTAATTGTCTTAACTTGATAGTGAGAGCAGGGCTCAAAACAGAGAAAGATTAATAGTTTCTAGAAAGAAAAACTTTGCATATAATTATATATATATATATCTGTTTATCCAGATAAGTATTCAAGAATGACTATTATTATTTATAATTTATTAAGTATGAAAAATAGGGCTACTTACTCTGTGTACATGCACAACATCTATCAGGATCATTTTCAAACATATTCAGAGCTAGATTCTGAAAAAGTAAAATACATAACTGTCAAGCAGGTCAGTGAAATACTGTTGTAGTATATGACTACATGAGTCTTGCGCTATGCAAAAAGAGTAATATTATTATTATCTCTGCCAGGAGATATATGTATTCAGTTGTGTAATGTGTCGGTGTGGGTGTGTTCAAAATATCTCAAAAACGAATGTACAGATCTAAATGAAATTAGGGAGTGTCAGGTATGACCTAAGGACAAGATAATTAAATTCAGGTGATGCATCATCATCGAGTGTGGATTTGGTGACCATTGAAAGGCCAGCCTATTGTCCTACTGTAAATGGTAGGCAGATACACTAGCTATATGATGAATATTTAAATTGGTGCAATTACAGTAAACGCAAGTGTTTCATACATACTTACTTCAATTTTTTGGAAAGCAATTTGTAATGCATCTTTATATTTAAACATGTGATGCTAAAAACCAATAACTTCTTCTAATATATTTGAGTATTCACATAATTTTTTTTAATGAATTTGACTATTCACATAATTTTTTTGTATTTCGACACCTATACTTAGCATGTACATTTTTTGTCAAGAATAAATTTAAAACGTTCAAGTGTTAGTATCAAGTAAGGAGTTGACAGTTATACCAACATCTCAATAAAAGTTTACATTACAATTTGTTTCTGTTTGGCAAAGTTAATGCACATTTTTTGAAGTTACTGTGGCATTATATAATTATGAAATATTATTTATGTGAATGTTATTTTGTGTGAGGAAAAAGCCTAAGCAAGAAAGAAAGAAAAGAAAGAGCTGTGTGTTTTTTTTTAAAGTGGTGCAGAGTGAAGTGGGTGAATGTGGTTGAAAATAGCTCTACCTAATCACATGCATTTGCGTGTGGTTGTAGGTGAAAGTCAACACGAGACTATCCTACCGGCAACTTAAAAGCAAAATTGACATAATTTATCACAATACTAACGAATGGTTATCACATTTTTTACGAAAAGGCCACGAAGAAAATAATTACCGCTGAACAGGATACATTACACTGCTTCTCGCAGACGTTAACACCATTATCACAGCGACAGTACTTGCACTCAGTTGGCCAGTACATTGCTCCATCCTAGGTAATATTTAAAAAAATATATAATATACAGGAGTAGTATACATAATATCTACTGTTAACATCCTTAAAACACTAAAAAGTTTATCAAATACAGAATATAATAAACATTAACGAGGGAGATGTTAATAACAACAATAATAGTAATGATAAATAACAGCATTAATAATTACAATAACAATAATAGCAGTTATAATTCAGTAAATTTACAAGTGTTGTGACAATCTTTATACAAAAAAAGCAGAGCATTGAAACACAAGCAAACTATAACTTGAGCTAAGAAAAATAATGTTTCACTAAAGCTCCTGATACACTATTGCCCATTTATTTATTCAACTTTATTTAACAAGGGTGAGCCTAAAGAGCAATGCTGACTTACAGGGGCCCCTTACCAAAAAAAAAAAGGATATCAATTTGAATATACAACAGTTAATAATATTCAGCATGAAATAAAAATTCAATTTACATGAAAAACACTGGAACTGGAACATCATACTTACAATTACCTAAAATTTGAAGTTATACTAATATTTAACATTTGTATATTGCACTTACTCGATATTCAACACCAGTCGCGTCTGTACATGGGCACCCCTGTTCATCTGAACCATCACCGCAGTTACGCTCACCATCGCATACATTACCCTCAAGAATACACATAGAGCAGTCAGCACAATTGTAATATCCATCTGGACAGGAACATGGCGGGGGCTCCAGCGTTGCTGTTGTACTCGCTGAAAAAAAACATTTTTTAGTTATTTGCCATATCAAAAAAATATTTAAACATTATCATTATCAATTGGTGACTGGCTGGTAAATTACTAATCAGTTGCTGTCGTACTTGCTGAAATAACACATTTAGTTTTTTCCATATTAAAAAATATGTAAACATAATCATTATCAATTCGTGATTAGGCTGGTGAATTCCTAATCAATGTCAAAATAATTCATAATAAAGGTGAGAAATCTTTAAAAAAAAAGTGTTGTGATACTTACGACCGACTGTTGTCGCGCATGGGTCACCTGTACACTCCCAGTGTCCTCCTATGCTGCACTGACTGAAAATTAATCAACAGCGTAAGAAAGTTATATACAGCATACTGTGGGAAAGGTTAAGATGGGCATTCATTGTGTTGTATGACCATTGAATCCAACTCAGTTTCCTGCGAGCGTTAGACGAGGCACCGCCGTCTGCTGAGTGTCGGTGGCAGTCTGAACAATGATCTGTTGTGCATGCGTCTTCGCATTGCGTTCGCCATGCGTCATGCGCAGTGAGTGCCTGACTTTAGACAGACAAAGCTCAATTTATATAATGGTTATATAATTTTGGCACTATGAAAACATTTTTTTGAGTTTGTATACACCCAAAAACACACACACACACAAATGTGAGGTCTCACCAGAAAATGAGTCTTATCGTTAGAAAATTTAAAAGTTAATATTATATTTGGGTAGATCACATTATAAGCTTTAATTTGGTCCTGTCTCTTATACACATCTAGATGTGTATAAGAGACAGGCAATTTGTAATGCATCTTTATATTTAAACATGTGATGCTAAAAACCAATAACTTCTTCTAATATATTTGAGTATTCACATAATTTTTTTTAATGAATTTGACTATTCACATAACTTTTTTGTATTTCAACACCTGTACTTCGCATGTACATTTTTTGTCAAGAATAAATTTAAAACGTTCAAGTGTATTTAGTATCAAGTAAGGAGTTGACAGTTATACCAAGTCAACATCTCATTAAAAGTTTACATTACAATTTGTTTCTGTTTGGCAAAGTTAATGCACATTTAATGCCAAGTTACAGTGGTATTATATAATTATGAAATACTATTTATGTGAATGTTATTTTGTGTGAGGAAAAAGCAAAGCAAGAAAGAAAGAAAAGAAAGAGCTGTGTGTTTTTTTTTTAAAGTGGTGCAGAGTGAAGTGGGTGAATGTAGTTGAAAATAGCTCTACCTATAATCACATGCATTTGCGTGTGGTTGTAGGTGAAAGTCAACATAGTCTATCCTACCGGCAACTTAAAAGCAAAATTGACATAATTTATCACAATACTAACGAATGGTTATCACATTTTTTACGAAAAAGCCACGAAGAAAATAATTACCGCTGAACAGGATACATTACACTGCTTCTCGCAGACGTTAACACCATTATCACAGCGACAGTACTTGCACTCAGTTGGCCAGTACATTGCTCCATCCTAGGTAATATTGAAAATAAAAAAATATATAATATACAGGAGTAGTATACATAATATCTACTGTTAACATCCTTAAAACACTAAAAAGTTTATCAAATACAGAATATAATAAACATTAACGAGGGAGATGTTAATAACAACAACAATAGTAATGATAAATAACAGCATTAATAATTACAATAACAATAATAGTAGTTATAATTCAGTAAATTTACAAGTGTTATGACAATCTTTATACAAAAAAAGCAGAGCATTGAAACACAAGCAAACTATAACTTGAGCTAAGAAAGATAATGTTTCACTAAAGCACCTGATACACTATTGCCCATTTATTTATTCAACTTTATTTAACAAGGGTGAGCCTAAAGAGCAATGCTGACTTACAGGGGTCCCTTACCAAAAAAAAAAAGGATATCAATTTGAATATACAACAGTTAATAATATTCAGCATGAAATAAAAATTCAATTTACATGAAAAACACTGGAACTGGAAGATCATACTTACAATTCCCTAAAATCTGAAGTTATACTAATATTTAACATTTGTATATTGCACTTACTCGATATTCAACACCAGTCGCGTCTGTACATGGGCATCCTTGTTCATCTGAACCATCACCGCAGTTACGCTCCCCATCGCATACATTACCCTCAAGAATACACATAGAGCAGTCAGCACAATTGTAATATCCATCTGGACAGGAACATGGTGGGGGCTCCAGCGTTGCTGTTGTACTCGCTGGAATAAAACATTTTTTAGTTATTTGGAATATCAAAAAAATATTTAAACATTATCATTATCAATTGGTGACTGGCTGGTAAATTACTAATCAGTTGCTGTCGTACTTGCTGAAATAACACATTTAGTTTTTTCCATATTAAAAAATATGTAAAAATAATCGTTATCAATTGGTGATTAGGCTGGTGAATTCCTAATCAATGTCAAAATAATTCATAATAAAGGTGAGAAATCTTTTAAAAAAAAATGTTGTGATACTTACGACCGACTGTTGTCGCGCATGGGTCACCTGTACACTCCCAGTGTCCTCCTATGCTGCACTGACTGAAAATTAATCAACAACGTAAGAAAGTTATATACAGCATACCGTGGGAAAGGTTAAGATGGGCATTCATTGCGTTGTATGACCATTGAATCCAACTCAGCTTCCTGTGAGCGTTAGACGACGCACCACTGTCTGCTGAGTGTCCGTGGCAGTCTGAACAATGATCCGTTGTGCACGCGTCTTCGCATTGCGTTCGCCATGCGTCATGCACAGTGAGTGCCTGACTTTAGACCGACAAAGCTCAATTTATATAATGGTTATATAATTTTGGCACTATGAAAACATTTTTTTGAGTTTGTATACACCCAAAAAACACACACACACAAATGTGAGGTCTCACCAGAAAATGAGTCTTATCGTTAGAAAATTAAAAAAAAAAAAACCAGTTAATATTATATTTGGGTAGATCACATTATAAGCTTTAATTTGGTTTTTACATGACTTCCCTAGGATAAGTAGATCCAGAGATGTGAGTATTTAAAATTTAGGTGTATGACAACCACATTTTAAAAAAATCGGCCTCAAAGATAAACGAACCTGTACAAATAATAGGAGTAGAATTACAGAATATGTGCAGAGAACACTGTTTTAGTAAAACAATTCACTTAAAAAGTAAACAATCATAAAATACAAGTCCGGGGAGGGGGGGCTCAAGCTTAAATATTTCTATACGGGGAGGTGTTGCATTTACGGGGTATATTTTTTTAGGACTTGGTAGCACAAATGTGGGAAATATGGGGGAGTTGCAGCATTTATGGGGTATAATTGCCAAAACTTTGTAGCACAAGTGTGGGGTATAACCGGGGGGGGGGGGTTATAAATTTTAGGGGGAATTTCAAGCTAGACTGTGTGGTAAGCCCCTTGCTAAGCCTACATTTGGTACAGCCACAAGATCGCGACTGGACGGAACACTTTTTGCTATTGGGAACCAGTCAATATTGCGCCCTCTCTGGCACTATTGAGTGGTTTTTTCCTGTCGTCTTTTAGAACACAGTGCGATTTAGGTAAATGGTAGTTCAAGTCCAAAGAATTTTCAGTAAAATAGGCAGCGCAAGTGTCTCATGTCTTGAATTGGGCACCCCCCTGTTTGGTTGGTATGCAAGTGAGCTCCCCAGGATACAAGTATCAAATAAAAATTTTGTAGAAATTTTGACATTGGCCTATTTTAGTGAATATCTTAATATGATTACACGAACAATGCGTCTCGTTTCTTGGTGAGACAAATGCTATGATAACTACATACTATTACTATTGCACATGTTATATTATTTCAACACACATCCAAACAGCGGGTAGCCCACCAATAAAATAGCACATAGTTGTATGGATTTAATTTAGTGTAAACACCAAGGATAGCACACAAAATCTAGAAGAAGACTTATTTCCAGTGCGGTCCTTCTGGTGGTGATTGGGAAGTACACCGGGAGACAATCCCCTACTCTTTTCCGAAGAGTGTACTGCATTCTTTAACGTGCACATGAGTCATATATGCACACGGGACCAACGGCTTAAACGTCTCATCCGAAAGATGGTGCACTATTGTAACTTGTGTTTCAGCCCTCCAGCTGAAACACAAGGAGAGGGAGCGATGAGAACTGAACTGCAGACCTAGAGATCCAAATAAGAGGACAGCTTTTTTCATTTGTAATCTATTCTAAATCAGTGTAGATCAGTATACAATGCACTCACCATTGCTGACAATGTATTATGGCAACAGATCCTGAAGAATAAGATTCCCCATTATCTATACAAGGGCACATCTGTGGGGCTATGCACTGACCCTCGTGGAGAATGCTTCCTTGTGGGCATGAACAACATTCCACTGTTGAATTCCAGGCTGAACATATACGGAGATCATCTGGATTATAGCACGTATCTGGGCAAGTACTTCCAGATGGGTTGTAGTGCATACTATTTATACACTGAATACCTGAAATAAGTGACATTAATGTATCATTTATTTATTTATTAACCATATTGAAACAGTATAAGATATCAGGAGTGTGTAATAACCTGTTTTACACAACGAACCTCAACATAGCAGTAGATCTCTAAGTATGATTATATAATATATATAATAATATATAATATGCAGCTAATATAATATTAGTATTTTCCCCTTTAAGCGAGACTATTTTTACACCTTGTTTCACGAACTTATTCTTTTTTTAAATTGTCAAAGGAGGGTGGAAAAAAAGTAAAAATAATTTAGGTTTTTTATTTAGCAAAGAGGTTTGCCAAAAACATCCAGACAGAGAAGAAAGAAAATTAAAATAAAATTTTACTGGTGAATGTAAACAGTGTAGTCATGGGATGGTTAAATGCTTTAAATTTATACAATTAGGAAGAAATACTGTATACATATCTTATTTTTGGAGTTTTATTATTTGGGCCTAATAACAATAAAGAAAAAACATTTTTTTTTTTCTGAAATTTCTATTTTTTCGTGGTGGCAGTGGCGATAATTGGCCAAAAATAAAACTGTATTTTCATTCAAAATCATCATTATTGGCGGGCGGTGGGTTCTCGCCTTATGGTGAAGTACATTTTTACAATTATTTTTGGTTTTTTCTCTTTAGTGTTCTTTTAAGCACTGATGTTCCATATGGTACTCTTTCACTATATGAGCTTCGGTAAAATTTGTTTCAATGTTTGCAAGTAAATTAAATAATTTATTTATTGTATGCTTGTTACACTACGTAGATATTCCTGACAAGCCGAGCTATTCTCAACACCCTACAGCCTATTTCACGACTATGATGTGGCGTACAAGCTAATGCACATTGTATTGTAAAATTAGAGCATTTTGTAAGCTGGACAAGGTAAACATTGGGAGAAAATCAATAACCAAGTTCTCAGGTCAAAATATATCCATTTTTATATTTTGATCTGACTATATTATTTCCAAAGACTATTGATCATCTGAAAAAACTTAAACAACTGAAAACTAAAAGGCTAACATTTTGTTAACATATGCATGTTTAGATTGTTGCTAAAAACATTTTGAATCTTTCGCTGTCCAAGCAGTAATGTGCAAACGTCATAAATTTTACATGCACACTACAAACGTCTGAAGCTGTCACCAGTGCTACTACCGATGCTTTCAATGGATCATTAACAAAATAAAAATTTAAAATCCAATAGGTTTTATATCATTTTAAGGCTAATTAGTTGTAGAATATATTTGTATTAAATAATATTTTAATATTTTGTCACTTTTAATTCGAGGGAACATGTCACAGTTATTTAGGCTACGTTCAGACTTGGAGATAAGCCAGGCTTGATTTAAGTCCGGCTCAACGTTAAGCCCAGCTTAACTTTTGCCAGACTAGCGGTTTTAGCCAGACGAGAATTTGCATAATAATGAACCGTAACTAGGAAACGTGTTTCAAAACATTGCTCACGAAACGTACGCTCGCTCACGGCGTATGTACCGTAATTGAATGCTGATTGGTCATTTCGTCACCCGAAGTCAATGCAAGACAGCCCCGCAACGATTAAAGTCCAGCTTAGAAAAGTTAAACACGGTGGCGCGCCAGGCCTAGTTACTATAGGAACACAGCGCAGCTTGAAATAAGCCACCTTGGTCAGAGTGGCAGGTGGATAAACCTGGTGAGTTGAGCCGGGTTTATCCACCTAGTCTGAACTAGGCCACAGATACTTACCACAAACCCCATCTGATCGCCATTCAACAGTTACATGCTTTGAGAGGCAAATAGCGGCATACTCGGCAATAGCAGTACACATACATTCACAATCACCTCCAGTGTCACAAGCACAGGCATCCATTACGCAACTCTCATAGTAAAATTCTGGATTAACCTATTAATTATGGTAAATGGAACCATGTAAATATTCACAAAATAGAAGGCAGATAATAGAAATAATCCGATTTTAGAGGGATCTTTGATGAAATTAATAGAAATAAACAATGACACTGATGAAATACATACCACATCATGACAGGGAGCAAACACAGCCTGCTTAATAAGTGAGCAAGAGTACTCAGCCCACGCACGACGTCTAGGGTTCACGTCACATGGATGAAATACTTCCTGAGCGGGAGGACAGCTTGTGCGGGTCCGCCAACTATCTCCGAAAAGGGTAGCCCTCGACTCAACCTGGCCTGATCTTGTAGTAAAGTCATTGGTCTGGTCACCGTCATAATTTCCACACAGACCACAGGTAACACCCCGATACGATGGGTCAAGGGTGAGTCCAACAGAGGTTCCTCCATCCCATCTGACCATTATTCCTATAAATCAAAAGGTACTCAATGTTAATGCTCAATAATATGGTGACAGCAAGCTGACTGATGTGAAATAATGTTGTTTGGAATGCCAATAAACTATTCCAAGTTTTTGCGGAGATTGAACATAGGGAATATTGTCTTGTAAGGCTTTAAAAATTTATGGCCCAAAGTATCTAGATTTTCCAAGAATTGTGAGGACTAGCCCCTGCATATATGTGGCCAGATTAGGTATGCAAGAGACTTCAATCTGCCTACAGCAAGTGGAACACAATATTATGGTGTCTGTCTCTTAAGTTTCACAAACGTTTAAATGACTTAGCCTAAAATGCATGGAGAATGCTAAAATTAGTGTGAATACTATCTTCAAAAATGTTATTGCTGTTCCTTGCTATTTAATTCTCACACCATCAGCGGCCATTGTGGGCATTACCACGCATCCGATTCCTCTGTTTTACACTGATAGCGTTATATGTTCTCCCAACAATACACCACATGGCCACACAAGTTCCATGGTCGCTAAATCAGTCTATTTTTAGCTTTCTCACATATTTTTTCACGATAGTTGAACATTTACAATTTGACATTAAAACTAACTTTAAGCCTGATTTAAACAATCTTCATCTTTAAAATTATAAACACCTAATTTCCCCTACTGGCCATGTGCCAACCTTATGTGAGAGCTCTTTAAGAAAAGGTGAACAGAAAAACAGTTGACATGAAATTAAACACCGTTTCAATCATCTATTGAAAGTCTTACGTTGATCCACAGTGTTGAAAATCCAATGACGCCCGACTTGATAGCAATCAACAGTTCCAACAGGGGAGCCATTTAATTGAATATCAGGAGTATCCTGGCCTCTTGTCAAGTATGTCACTGTTCCTTGGTACACAATTTTGATGGTCCTGGCACAAGTAAAACCTGTAACACCACATGGAACATTTTCAAGAGTTACACTGAACGTTCCGCCACCAGGCCTACCACAGGCATCCTCACAGAACACATATCCACAGTCACCTGTTAAGAAAATATGAAACAAAATTAAACATACAAAATATTTTCAAATTTGATTTTAATACAATGTCTGTCAAAAATGATTGATTTTATTTGGGTAGTGAATATTTAACAGATAAGTATAAAAAGCCAAATTGCGCCTGTGGAAATGTCTTTAGAAAGCAGGTCTGGAAAAAAAAATGTTATTTGAAAAATGTTATTTGCTCAATTTTGACACTTTATAATGACTGTTTCTATACAGAGTTTGCTTTCCAATTTTTAGATCACCTTTAAGACCTGAAAATTTGGGATGGCCTTGGGGTCTGGTCTCCAAATAGTTAGCTACATAAGTTAATAGATTGAAGATTGTTATTTGGTCCTTTAAAAAAGTGGTCAAGAATTATACAGGTCTCAGGATTAGGGGGGGGGGTCTCAACATGGAGGGTGCACTGCAATTATATCACAATTTTACTTTTCTTGTATTCTATTTCAAAAGAAGACTTTTACATAAAGTTTGTTCTCCAATTCCAGACCAAGGATCCCAAGTTGGAAGAACCCAATCCCAGGAGATTCGTTTAATGATGTTCGGGGCACTACATATTCTATGAGGAAAAGGTGTAGGTAACATACGAAAGGCCACACCCATCTCAGGCCTACCATGATTGGGGCTGAGGTGATATCATTTTTTTAGAATAGGCACTTTTAATTAAAGCCCAGAAATGGCACTGTCAGCCTGCCAAAAATAATCGGCAACCAAAGTTTAGGCCTACAGTAAATAAAACAAAAAGATTTGTTTTTTACAGAATTTGCGGGAGATAAGTGAATTTCCGGGAGATTTTTGCTTGTTTGTGGGAGTGGGGGAGACCATACCAATTTCCGGGAGACTCCCGGGAATTCCAGACCACCTTTGGGACCTGAAAACATGGGGTGGTCTCAAGGTTCATTCTCCACATAGAGGGTCAGCTTTAGTATAGATTGAATATTATTATTTGGTTCTTTGAAAGAGTGGTCTCAAATTAGAGGGGTCTTGGAATTAGAGGTGTCACAATTTGGAGGGTGCACTGTATTTGTATTTAGCACATTTATTTTTTATGATGGCCCTTTATAATCAGCTCACACTGGATGGGCTACCCTTGTAAATGCTGGCGAATAAATAATCTATAACCTTGTAAATTGAGATTTTATATCTTACAGCTGTGTTTAAATTGGATTCATTTTGGTCAAACTAACCATGTATCTGGTCACTTTAACACAAAAAAAATCCAGTACAAGCAACCTGTGTAATATTCTCCAAATACAGCAATTTTATAACATTACCCAGAAAGAATAATCAGGCTGTTTTTTCTGAGAAGAAAAGTCCAATGCAAACAACAGGACTTAGTTTAATCTTGCTGAATGCATGCTAAATACATACATTGCTGAATATTCCACCGAATAGGTAGTTTTCATTAACGTTAACGGATGACGTCATAATTTATTCATCTTATGTTGCAAGGATTTTACATGCTCGATGTACGTTAGTTACGGGTTTGCGCATTTCAATTTGTTTACAAAATGGGCAGAGGTATCGCGTTGCATGTTCGGTATTAACGTTGAAGTTAAGGCTAATGTCGTGCACCACAAACTACCCATTGTATCAACGATCAGACTGACCATGTACAGTATGTGCAAAATCATACTATCTTAACACCGGCTTCATATTTAAATTAAGAGCGAACAGCAGTACGACTTGACCAATATAGCTTTACCATTGTATTGGTCAAAGTTAATCCGATGATCCAATGCCAATGTGCCTTTTTGAGATAATCAAGATAAGCCAGACAGTTATGGCGGTTTTTGTTTTGGGTGTATGGTCTACATTTTAATGACACCCAGTTTAAAATGAGAAGAAAGCTTAAATATGCATGCTTCATACCATGGAAGTTATACATTTTCCCATCAAAGGTCATATAATGAGGACCACCATAGACACGAGCTGTCTGCGGGCAATCATTTTCCTCACATACCCATTCTCGGTTCGAACAGAAGCTGTAAATGAAGGAAAAACAAAATGGGTTTTTAAAATGTCAAGTTATTCATGGTAAACCAGCCCACTCTACTTACAGGTCATTTACAATGAGATTATCGTCCACCACTAATGAAACAAGTAACCTACAGTATTCACACATAACAAATCAATAATTAAATAATATAGATGAAAACTTTATTAATCCCGTTTTGGGAATTTCTTTGCTTCATACACAAATTACAATATCAAAATATGTAATACAACTTATATTCTATTATAAATACGATTATTAAGTAAAAATATTCATATTACAATGATCCAGTATTGCATGTTGCTATGATCTATGTACTCTGGACCAAATCCTATAATTACAATTCAGAAATTGTTGTGAAGGGGGTGAGGAGGAATTACAGTCAACACACCACCATGGGAGTATGGTTCCCAGATGACATGGCTGTGGTCTTAAACTACTACACCTGTCTCTTATACACATAT